ACAGGAGAATTGCAAATTCAAAGCCAGCCTCAGCAATAGTAAGGCACTAAGCTAAGCAATTCAGTGAGACCCTGTCTCTAAATAAAATACAAAATAGGGCTGGGGATGTGACTCAGTGGTTGAGTGCCCACGAGTTCAATCCCCAGTTCCAAAAAGAAAGAAAAACTGTGCCTGAAATAATGAGTACCTACCTTATTTTGAGAGTCTGGGCTTTCTGAACACAAGTAAATAATTACTTCTACTTCTGTAACAAACCTCAGCCAGGTGTGGTGGCACATGCCTGTAATCCCAGCAGCTGGGAGGCTAAAGACGGGCGAATCACAAGTTCAAAGCCAACATAAGCCATTCAATGAGACCCTGTCTCTAAATAAAATACAAAAAAGAGCTGGGGATATGGTTCAGTGCCTCTGGGTTCAATCCCCAAATCCCCAGTACCCCCCCCCCCAAAAAAACCCACCAAATCTCAGATGCTGGATTTGGAGGTGTAGCCCAGTTATACAGCCCGTGATTAGCAAGCACAAGATTCTGAGTTCAATTCCCAGCACCAAAAACAAATAAACAAACAATAACAATTAAATGATAACTCACAAACATCTCTATCATTTATACTTAAAGAATGCCGTAAGTGAAAAAACAATGGCTGGGTTATAGCTCATTGGCAGAGTTCCTGTCTGGTTGCACAAGGTTCTGGGTTCAATCCCCAGCACCTCAAAACAAATAAATAAATAAGTAAAATTACCCACTCAACTAATATTTTAAATGTCCTAAAAAGTAGTATATATTCAGAGTACTTCTAGTTATCTGCACATTAATCAATTGGCTTTGGATTGTCTAGACGTGAACTATTGGTAATTACTGCCATATGTGGCTACTGAGCATTTGAAATATGCCTAATCTAAATTGAGGTGAGCTGTAAGTATAGATTACACTGGAGAAGAATAGTATAAAATAACTCAATTGTTTAAAATTGACTACACAATAAAATAACATCTTAGATATGAGTTAAAACATTATTTAGCCAGGAGCAGTGGTACAGACCTGTACCAATCACTTGAGAGGCTGAAGCAAGAGGATCAAAAGTTTGAGGACAACTTGGGCAAGTTAACCAGACCCAGTATCAAAATTAAAAATAAAAAGGGCTGGGGGTGTAGCTTAATAGTGTAGCACCCCTGAGTTCCATTCTCAACACTACCAAAAAAAAAAAAAGAAAGTGAAATCATGTATGCAGCTCACGTTTCTTTTGAACAGCACTGGTTAAGACAATAGTATACTACCAAATCTATGCACAGAGCTCATATATGTTGAAGATGTACTCAGCCTACACTAGTCAATATCTTTTATCAAAATACATAAACATCAGAGACTAAAATGAAATTGTTTAAAAGTACACAAACAAGGGCTGGGGTTGTGGCTCAGAGGTAGCGCACTTGCCTAGCATGTGTGAGGCACTGGGTTCGATTCTCAGCACCACATATATATAAATAAAGGTCCATCAATAACTAATAAAAATATTAAAAAAAAAAAAAAAGAACACAAACATTTGAGGGACTACCAAGTGTTGGACATTCAATTGATAAAGTAACATTGTGTAACTTTCTGTCTCACAGAAGAAGACTCACATATTCTATATACAGCTATTGTACACTGCGCCCCAAGCTCCTACAAAAAACTGCCTGGCACCACCCAAAGTACTTTACTCTCATTTATAAAATCCTAACAACTATCTATGTAGTAGATACTATTATTAATGTTATTTCTAAAGAAGCTGGGCATGTTGAATGTGCCTGTAGTATCAGTGACTTGGGAGGCTGAGGCAGGAGGATCAAAAGTTGGTGGCCAGCCTGGAGAACTAGGTGGAGACTCTGTCTCAAAAAAAAAAAAAAAGTGCTAGCTCAGTGGTAGAATACCCCTGGGTTCAATCCAAAGGAAGGAATGATCAAAAGAATGAACTGAAGCAGAGAAAGGTTAAGTAACTTGCCAAAGTTACAGAGCTATAACCTGTGGAACTAGGATTCCTACCCAGCAGGCCTGATGCAAAACCACTACACATTTCCCAAGTAAAAGGACTACACACAAAAATTATGCCATTTTCTCACAGGATTGGGTTTCCCAAAAAAAACTAGAGTAGATGAAGATATTGCTCTGCTGCCTTCTCTCTATGCCATCCTTCTCAAAGGCTGGTTAAAACTTATCACATGAATTAAATCCCCCCTCTCCAGAAAGACTATCTCATCCCTCTGGCCCAATTCTTAATTGTCCTTCAGACTTCATTTTATTGTGTTTTTTTGTTTGTTTGTTTGTTTGTTTTTTGTTTCTTTCTTTCTTTCCTTTTTCTTTTGCAATACTGGGAATTCAACCCAGGGGCACTCTATCCCTCAGCTACACTCCCAGCCCTTTCTATATTTTTTTATTTTGAGACAGGGTCTAGCTAAGTTGCCTACATGGGCCTCAAACTTGCAATTCTCCTGCCTCGGCCTGGCAAGTCACTGGGACTACACCATGCCTGGCCAGAACGCATTTAAGACATCATGTCCAAGCAAGACTACTCAGACTCTTCACAATTCAGACTAGTCCCCTCCTCCCTGTGCTTACTACTCTAGCACTGTCCACACTGCTGATTGTCCTCACCAGAATGCTCAAGGGGTCTACAGCGTCCACCACTTCTCCACAGTGCCTATGAAAGTGCCTAGCATTAGGTATTTGCTGATTGACCCACCCAGCTACAGCTAAAAGCAAAATATTAAAAGCAAACTTTGTGCTAAGAAGTGCTAACAAGTTCTAAGTATCATGATATCTCAACAGTATGGTACCCAGGGAATGATGATGACAAGCCCCCTTCCCCAAGAAGGTGATTTAAATAAAAAACATATTTAATTACTTGTCCAATTTTATTTCAATATAACTTGTTTTATGAGAATGAGTTAAATTGCTGATAAATATAAGAAATCCCAACCAGCTATAATGCTATTAATTGGCTGAAACCAATTTAATTTTGACAACTCCCAGAGTTCAAAGACTACAGCAGTTACCTCTCTAAATAATCTCATTATAAAATTAGTTATATTTTAAAAAGGGTTTTATTCCACTGACCCAATGCAGAAGCTGGGCTCCCAATGACAGACAACCAGGTGTTCTTCAAGGATTGTGGGAGGTAGAAAGTGAACTTCATGCACAATTACTTTAGCACACAAGTCATGTTAGTGCCAGAGTCAAAAGGGACTTTCTTAGCCTTCCCTTTTCTTTTCCTAAACGGGAAACCGATTAAAAGGTCAACCTTTAGCTCTTACTTTCACAACAAGTAATTCTGAAACATGTGGTCAAAGTGTTTTAGGAGTCCTTAAGGCTGTGAACAACAACACACTTTACTGTAAATTCTAGCATCAAGTAAACCAGAAAAGAAAACTCCATTCTGTCAAGTTGAGGACAGAAGCTGATCATGTTTCTCAGATTACTGTTTCTGTTGATGTCCTGAAAAACACTATGAGGCAAACATGCCATAGATTCCCACCCCAAGCACGAAGAGCCTCCGATTGTTTGACACATCAATGGATTAGTCAACTCGGCCAACTCACTTTTCCCCTCTAATTTGCCTTAATTATTCTTCACACAAACCCTCAAGTTCACTCCAAGTTGTGACCATATGCAATCTTCTTTTTGCCCCCAAGTATAAATTAGGGCCTTTACCACCTAGCTAGTATTGCTTCAGCCCGAAACACTAAAATCTCTCTCTTAAAAATGTCACACATGTAGCAATTCCACACAAATATGAAAAAAGCCAGTCAAGTCACTTAAAGAAACAGGCAGGATTCTGGAACGTTGTAAACTGCTGCATATTTTGTGTCAGCGGGCACAGAGCAAAGGGGGAGACCTTGAAAGCAGAAGACCGGATGGGAAGCATGGGAAGACCCCGCCCCAGTCAGCTCAAAGCCGATTCAAACAGTAACTTGGGTCTGTCGTTTGGAATCGGAATCACTGAAACAAAGGCGTATATTACGAGAAGCAAGATGTCTGGAGTAAGAGAAAACGGCTCGCCGCTACAGAGGCCGTCCGCCACCCTCCCACAGGTCTTACCTATGGTGGAAATAAAGGTGGTATTGAAGGCATCATCCGAAAAACGAAAAAGGACGCAGGTCTTCCCCACTCCCGAGTCCCCGATCAGGAGCAGCTTGAAAAGCAGGTCGTACGTCTTCTTCGCCATTGGGAGGAGCGGCTCGGGCTCTCGCCGCCGGCGGCCCCAAGGGATCGGTCCTTCTCACCACGGCCAACTCCTCACCCGGGCGTTCTTGGGCCGGAGGACCGGGGAAGCGTGGGAAAAAAGGAGGGCTCGAGAGGATGCGGGCGACCAAGGAACAGCCTCCTCAAGAAAGCCTCGACGGTGGCGGCGTCCCGAGCCTCCGAGGGCGGCGACCGCAGCTCCGCAGCCTCTCCCAGCCGCTCCGCCCGGTTCCGGGGAGTCGGTCGGGACAAAATGGCCTCCCCTCCCCCCTCAGGGCTGCTCGGCCGGGACGCTCCCACAGGCGAGCGAGTGAGCTCTGCCGTCGAGGGAGCTCGGCGGACGGGAGGACAGCCCCTCCCGGGCAGAAACTCCGCGATGGGACGCGGCGAGGACAGCAAACGAAGACCGCGAGCGGACGAACCCAGCTACATAGCCCCAGGAAGGCGAGCCGCCCCAGCCAGAGCCACCTTTTCCCCGTGCCCTCTCACGCCGGCGTGCGCGCTGCCTGAGACGCACGCAAGGACGTACGCCCGCCCTTCCCTCGCGCCCTCGCCCTGCGGTCCGCCTCTGCGCACGCGCGCAAGAGAGTGTTGAGGGCACAGGGGGGCGGAGACAGGAGTGAAGGATCTCTGTCTGAAGCCGGGCCGAGAGGGGCCGGGGGCGGGGCCAGAGAGGGCGAGGCCGCGGGCGCGCACCCTGTGGCCGCCTGATAGGGTGCGCGGCGGTACGAGCACGCCCCGCGAGAGGCGCTGCCTAGTGACTGCGCAGGCGCAGCACGGTGGCTAGTCCCTGCTTCCCTCTTGCATTCCCGGGGTCTCCCAGCGAACTACTCCGGGTAACCTCTGCGTGGAGTTTGTTGGGAGTGGGACGCTTGAGAATCTTGGCGCAGCGACGGGCGTAGGTGGTCATGTTTTCTTGTGTAGCTACAGCTCGTAGACATATATAAAGTAAAGGCCAGTGTCACTTAATAGGTTCTTTGTAAAACTTGAAAGTCTCCTGGAGTGCTCACTTTAGTGGGCCGGCCATGACAAGAGAAATATTACTGCTGCATCCCAGTTTCTTTAAGCAGGAAAAATTGGCGTTAGAGCAGGAGTTCGAAATGGAAAAGCTGGCCAAGCTACTCGGGTTGGAATGATGTAATCGTCCTTCCGGGGCGAGAAAAGGAAGGCTGAGGAGCACCTGGGCGCAGAGAGAATCTCCCCGCGAATGGAAGGTTCGCTGCTGTGCTCTGCGCGTAGAACCTGCTCCAGGCCTTTGCGGTCCTTGGGAATCCTGGAGACGCCAAGAACTCTATGCACAGGAGGCGGGGCCCCTCCCTGCCGCCAAGTAGTACCACCTTGTCGAAAATCCAAAGATGGTGAAGTCCACCTGAACCTTGCATTTTCTTTTAATTTGCCTTATCTTTTTTCTTCTTCTACCCGCAACAGTGTTTCTCTTTTTGGAGGAGAGGGGTGCGGGGGCGGGTACTGGAGATTGAACCCGGGAGAGCTTAACCACTGAGCCACATCCCCAGCCCTTTTTTATTTTGAGTCAGGATCCCACTGAATTATTTAGGGCCTCGCAAAATTACTGAGGCTGGCTCTGAACTTGCGATCCTCTTGCCTCAGCTTCTAGAGTCACTGAGATTACAGGTGTGTGCCACCTCACCCAGCTCCCCAACAATCTTATTTACACTTTCCCTTCCCCCCCCTTTTTTTTTTCTTTTTTTCCATAGTTGGAAAATACGTGCTTCTGACCTCAGTATGCTCCATCACTACAGCATGCCTAGGATGTGATCTCAAAGTGGTTGAACCTGGTGAGCTGGTTCAGCTTGAAAAAGTATTAAACTCTGGGACGTCTGGAAAGCAAGAAACAAGGATTCAGAGAGAATTTGAAGCCACAGTTTTACACACAACCCCACCGTCACCAGAATGTTGGTGTATTTGATATGTAATTAAAATGAGTCTTTGGGGAAGTTCCAGTCATCATGCTTCAGTCTCAAATTCTTCAAAGACTTGTCTTGCCTAGTGTGGTCTCACACCTGTAATCCCAGCTACTCAGGAGGCTGAGGCAGAAAAATGGCAAGTTCCAGGCCGTTTAATGAGACCCTGTCTCAAAAAAGGAGCTGGGGTGAAGCTTCTTAATACAGCACCCCTGAGATCAATCTCCAGTGCAAAAAAAAAAAAAAAAACTATAGCATGGGAGGCTGGTGGTGTAGCTAAGTGGCAGAGCTTGCACTTAACATGTTCCATCCTTAGAACAAAAATAAAGACTTTTCTTACATTCTTTTTCCTTCCCAAACACTCCTAAACTTCATGACTTAAGATGCTTGTCTTCTCATATATCTCTCTCTTAGATTGGATTCTCTGATTGTTTTTCATAGTCTTATCTCTTAAACCTACTTATCCCCTGAATCATTTCTTATTCAGCTGGGAATGTCTTATGATAAAATCAACAATTCTAAAATAGGCTAGCTATGCAAATCACAAAGCCAACTATGAGCAGTGCTTCACAAATTTGTCATCAATTCAAGAGTTATAACCCTTGAGTACCTCAAAATTTTCAGTGTTAGCTTGATTATTCCCTCCAAAATAAATCTGATAAATTCAACCCCCAATATTGTAAAGCATCTTGAAAGTTGTTTTTGGTTTTTGGTGCTGGGGATTGAACCCAGGGCTTATGCATATGCCAGGCAAGTGCTCTACCACTGAGCTACCTCCCCATCCCAAAAGTATGATTTTTTGATGTAGAAAGTTTAATTTGGAGAGTAATACTATTATGTAAATTTAGGAAATAATGAGCAGCTAAATAAAACAAAATTCTTCATTCTATATCCCAGTTATAACCAATAATTTTATCAGAACTTTTCCCCCAATGAACCCATGTTCTAAAACTTCAGAAATTATATTTATTAGAAATTTTTACTTATTATTGATTCAGGAGCATAGAATTTTAGAACTGTCATATCTTTGATGTAATTCAACCCCTGGACATAATTGACACATGGGAAGTCTAAGAAGAAGAAAGTTTACACTATTAGTGATGGAACCAGGACTATCTCCAAAAAAGTAAAGGGAAGAAAAACCTCCAAATAACAGCATAAAGGTAAGAATTGGAAGGCTCACCAGTACTTAGTATTTGATACTTAGTGTTAATTTAGTAAAATTAATTAAAAGTTTCACAGTATGGGAGGCTGAGACAAGAGGATCACAAGTTCAAAGCCAGTCTCAGCAACTTAGTGAGGCACCAAGCAACTTAGCAAGACTCTGTCAAAATAAAATATAAAACCAGCTAGGAATGTGGTTAAGTGCCTCTGGCTGGGTTCAATCCTGGTACCACCACCACCACCCCAAAAAAAGTTTTACTGGTATGAGGCATAAGCATCCATTTATATCTGCCACTGAAGCCAACAAAAGTGATCTAGACAAGGGAGACCTGTGACTCTAGAAAAAGAATAAAACAAGGGCTGGGGCTGGGGCTCAGCAGCAGAGTGCTTGCCTAGCATGTGTGAGGCACTGGGTTCAATCCTCAGCACCACATAAAGAATAAACAAAAGTACTGTGTCCATCTACAACTACAAAAAAAAAAAAATTTTTAAAGATTTTTTTGTTTGTTTAAAAAAAAAAAACAAGGATACATGGCAGGGAGTGGTGCTGTAAGCCCAGCAGCTCTGGAGGCTGAGGCAGTAGGATCCCAACTTCAAAGCTAGCTTGGGAAGCTCTTTTGCCTCCCACAACACACCCTTGCTCTCTTGGTTCTCTTAGAAAGACCCTGTCACCAAAAATAATTTTTTTTTTTTTAATGTAGCAGAGCACAGTGGTAAATGCTTGGAATCCCAGAGACTCAGAAGGCTAAGACAAGAGAATCTCAAGTTCCAGGTCAGCTTCAGCAATTAGCAAGACTCTAAGTAACTTAGTGAGACCTTACCTCAAAAAATAATAATAAGTGGTGCACATCTGTAATCCCAGCAGTTTGGGAAGCTGAGGCAGAGGACCAAGAGTTCAAAGCCAGCCTCAGCAAAAGCAAGGTGGTAAGCAACTCTGAATAAAATACAAAACAGGGTTGGGTATGGCTCAGTGGTTGAGTTCGCCTGAATTCAATCCCCCATACCAAAATAAAAACAATAATAAATGAGGATGTAGGCCTAAAAGATAAACCTAGAGTCACAAAGTAATATTTGATAAAAAGCACAAGCAATGAAAAAAATGCCTAACTAATACTAGTTTACTATTTATGCCTTTTTCAAAGTTTCTTTGTAATAAATCTAATCCAAATATTTGCAAAGCCCAAAAAGAAAATGAGACTAGGGCCCAGTGACCCGTGCCTATAAGCCCAGCAAGTCAAGAAGCTGAGACAGGAGAATTAGATGTTCAAGGTCAGCCCTAGAATTTAGTGAGACCCTGTCTGAAAATAAAAAATAAGGATTGGGGGTACAGCTCAGTGATAAAGAGTCCCTGGGTTCAATCCCTAATGCGAAAAGGGGAAAAAAAGGGGAGAAAGAAAGAAAATGAGTATATTTATATATCTACATTGTGAAAGTATTGTGTTTATTGTTTTTTTCAAAACAAAAAAAAAACTAGGCTGAACAAGTCCTGGTTCCAGCCTTCAGCTTAAGCTTTTAGGACCTGCCTGTATGGCTTATAAGAAATTCCTGTCTCAAAAGATTTTGACTCAGGAACATCTTTACCATTATTCTCTTGCACTATTGCTTAATCTCTGTACCTGATTTCTTGTTCTTTTGCCTCCCACAACATACCTTTGCTCTCTTGGTTCTTAAGTGTGGAGTCTTCCCTGGAAGGGCAAGCCCTGCTGTGTCATTCATTGCCTTGCTATAAAACCAAATTCTCCAGTCTCTGTGACTTTGTCTATTTACTGCTGCCTATTTCCTGTGTTCACACCCACAGACTTCCAAGAGGAAGGTTAGACTGTCCTGAGGCTAAGCACTAGTTGCCTAATGTCTACTCTTATCACCAGAGCCTGCCAAAATTCTGTTCTGCCTACTTTTTTTTTTTTTTTTTTTTTTTTTGTAGTTGTAGATGGATAGAATGCCTTTATTTTATTTGTTGATTTTTTTATACGGTGCTGAGGTTCGAACCCAGCACCTCATGCATGCTAGGCAAGTGCTCTGCCACTGAGCTATAGCCCCAGCCCATGCTTTATTATTATTATTTTTTTAAACTAGATTCTGGCCATGTGATCCAGGCTGGTCCCAAACTCCTGGGCCCAAGCAGTCCTCCAGCCTTCTGGAACTGTAGGTTGCTCTACCATGCAATCTGAGCCCCCATGCCTGGCTGCCTGAATATCTTGATTTAGACCCCCTCTATTTAAAAAAAAAAAAAAAGCGTTGCCCCAGCAGGGTACCACCACACACACCTGTAATCCCAGTGTTTCAGGAGGCTGAGGCAGGAGAATCACAAGTTCAAAGTCAGCCTCAGCAATTTAGCGAGGTCCTAAGCCAATTTAAGAAGACCCTGTCACAAAATTAGAAGCTGGCGGGGGTGTGTTGCTCAGTGGTTAAGACCTCTGGATTCAATCCCTGGTACCAAAAATAAAAGTATTGCCCAAAGTCTTCCCCTGTTCAGTGGTTGTGTGTGTACTAGTTCCACTGCCAAGGATGTCTCAATTCTAAAATGTTGGCCTTGGCATTTAAGGGGCTCCAGGCCCTAGTCAACCTTTCTTCCCTACTTACCTTCCACACAGTCTGCTCCAGAAAAAAATATTTTCTTTCCCACAGTTACTATATATCTTCCTGATTCCAAGTTACTTTAACATGGTTCTCTGCTTGTGAGATGCACCTTCTCCTCAGGCCACCTAACATTCCTTTAGCCTTCAGCTTAAATGCTTTCACCATGGCTGTCTCCCCAGAGCGCTCTCTCTCTCTTTCTCTCTCTCTCTCTAATATATATATATATATATATATATATATATATATATATATATATATAATTTTTTTAGTTGACTTTAGTACCCTGCCTGGCTTATTAATTTTATTAAATAAATAAATGTGAGAAACAAGCTCACCTGCCCAAACCCAAAGAAATGACTAAGAAACACAGGTATAGCAAAAAGCAAGGTTCTTACTGAGTCTTGCAAGATTGGGTGTCGGGGGAAAAGGCACACCCAGAGCAGTTTCAATCAGCATTTTACTCCCTAGTGTTCAGGGCTTCTTCCCTGGTTCCTCATTGTCTGAGTAGATCCTCAGGGCTGGTCACTCCTCCCAGATCTCTCCTTCTCTGGGTTTTACTGTCTCCTATTGGGTTACTTAAAAAACTAGTAACCTTAAATTGTACCCATCTCCCTTTGTTCTCTTGGGATGAGAAGTCCTTTCTGCAATGATTGAGTGCATTTTGGCACTATGAAGTTTATCTTGATGGTCAGGCCAGCCCACTTCAGCCCACTTCCTGTCACCTCCTGTTTGTGGAAGGGCTGTGAATCTGTCACACTCAGGTGTTAACTGCTGGTAACCATTTGTTCTGTTTTCTCTTCAGCTGCTTTTCTTACATCCTCAGTAATTTTACATTAAAAGCTAAATACTGTAGTCTGAAAATGGATCATTGGGCTTTCTATTTCTTGTAAATATAGCTCCATTATAGAGTTTATTTCTGTAAACGAGAAATACTGTTAAGGCTAACAGGGCAACTGTGATACAGTAGAATACACTAAACTTGGAGTCAGACAATATAGCTTCAAGAATTGGCTCTGCTTGGGGACTGGGGATATAGCTCAGTTGGTAGAGTGTTTGCCGTATGCACAAGGCCCTGGAATCGCCAGCACCACAAAAAAAAAGAATCAGCTCTGCTAGTGACTGCCCACAACAATAGATGATTCATTTAGCCTCACTATTTTCCTCACATCAAGCTAATACCAGAAGAATAGTGTTTCCCAGGATTGTTTTAAAAATTAAATAAGATAACATGTAAATGTACTTTAATATAGAGCAAACACTATGCAAATGTAAGTTATTACTATTAAGAAAGAATGAA